GTCTATTTTCCGGCTGGTGTGGCAGAGGGCCCGTTGCACCCTTAGCCCTGTGGTATGGTGTTAAACAAGAAAGCGACACTATAAAGATGGAAAGTATTTTTTAACAAACTAGATTATGACATTATATTGAGATAGACTTTCGTATATCATAGGATGAAAGTCTCATTCTTATACAAGAAACTGACACACCGCGTTTTTTTTTTAATTTTAGTTTTTAATTTTATTTTTTAAAATTATTTTTTATTATTTTACTATACTTATATTAAAAATAAATTCAATTTTTTTTATAAATATATCTCTAATGTAAAATCCTAATGTGTGTTCGTGGAAATTTATGATTATGATTTAAAAAATAAATTTAAGAAAAGTTATAATTGTAATTTTTTGAAAAAATAAATGTTTTTGTTTTAGTTTCAAATTCTGTTTTAGAAATACATTTAATTTGAGAAAAATAATAAATTAATATTTTTTAGTATTTTTAATAGTTTTGATGTGATAATAATAAAAAAATATCATTATTTAAAAAAAAATATTATGTAAGACTGTAAAATTACAGTAAATAACGTTAAATCAATAATGAAAATAAAAAATAAAGTGGTAGACAACCTATCGATGGATGCTTTTTGCTGCAGCATTTTAATGAATAGTAGAAAAGCGCTGGGAGTCATGATTATATTCTTGTTCAAGTGAGTGAGGTGGCCACTTTTACGAAAGCAAGAAACCATTGTATCTCTCGAAATTCAATGGCCACGTGAACAAAGTCAACAAAACCTCCATGGACGAAAGTCATCCAATGAACGGCTTTTGTTGTTCATATTTCTTAAACCATTTTCTTGCTTAGGGCTTAATCAAACTTTGAGGCAACTCAAAGTAATCATTTCTGTAGCACAAGTCCCATCTGTCTTTTGAATTATAAGGCTGCAACATGCCTTCTTCCTGATCATGATGAGCTCGGTAAGGAAAATTTCCTAGCGCTGTTTCCCAACGCGGCTCGCTGCAAAATTTTATTTTCTTTTAAATTCAGATCTTTTAAATTGTATTAATATGATGGCGTTAAGAATATCTTTTCTTTTAAAAACATATATTATTTTTATATGTTTTTTTAAATTTAAAAATACAACAGTAATAACAAACACTGTAACAGCGCAATGCTCAAGGAAGAGGATTTAGAGACTGCAAATCCCGTGGGAGATGCGTCTGTCATCTCAGCACTCAGCCCAGTCTGCATAAGATAAAACGTCTTACCTAAATGGTCGAGGACTTCTTGACATGTAAACCAATAGAAGATGTGCCTTGCACGTAGCGCAACACACGCTTGACAGCAAGTCAAAGGGACTCCATGAACTGGAAAAAAGTTTATTGACGGTAAAGGTGGGGTCTGGACGAGCATATTATAATGTCCCAATAGTGCTTTCATACACTC